GGGGAGGGTTCGGGGGGGGGGGGGTCGGGTAGGGCCCTAATTGGACAAAAAGGGGAGTATATTACCTACTTCGTTTTAAGGGTTTTTATTAAATATGAACAGTGGGCAGGATTGTCTGAGGGTGATGAGTAGAGGTACAGCATATTCATGTAGCCTGGATTATTAAGGGCTATTGGAGGGGCGGGTGGGGTAGGGTCGGGTAGGGGCCTTAATTGGATATAAAGAAGTGCATATTACCTACTACATTTTAAGGGGTTTTATTTATTATGAACATAGGGCAGTATTGTTTGAGGTTGATGAGAAGAGGAAGGGCACAGTTATGTAGCCTGGATAGGAAGGGACTAGTGGTGGGGGGGGGGGGGGGGAAGGGTCGGGGTGTCGGGTAGGGGCGTTAATTGGATATAAAGAAGTGCATATTACCTACTACATTTTAAGGGGTTTTATTTATTATGAACATAGGGCAGTATTGTTTGAGGTTGATGAGAAGAGGAAGGGCACAGTTATGTAGCCTGGATAGGAAGGGACTAGTGGTGGGGGGGGGGGGGGAAGGGGGTCGGGGTGTCGGGTAGGGGCGTTAATTGGATATAAAGAAGTGCATATTACCTACTTCGTTTTAAGGGGTTTTATTTATTATGAACATAGGGCAGTATTGTTTGAGGTTGATGAGAAGAGGAAGGGCACAGTTATATAGCCTGGATAGGAAGGGACTAGTGGTGGGGAGGGGGGGGGGGATGGGTCGGGGTGTCGGGTAGGGGCCTTAATTGGACAAAAAGGGGTGTATATTTACCTACTTCGTTTTAAGGGTTTTTATTTATTATGAACAGAGGGCAGTATTGTTTGAGGTTGATGAGAAGAGGAAGGGCACAGCCATGTAGCCTGGATAGGAAGGGACTAGTGGTGGGGGGGGGGGAGGGGTCGGGGTGTCGGGTAGGGGCCTTAATTGGACAAAACGAGGTGTATATTTACCTACTTCGTTTTAAGGGTTTTTATTTATTATGAACAGAGGGCAGTATTGTGTGAGGTTGATGAGAAGAGGAAGGGCACAGTCATGTAGCCTGAATAGGAAGGGACTTGTGGTGGGGGGGGGGGGGAGGGGGGTCGGGGGTCGGGTAGGGGCCTTAATTGGACAAAAAGGGGAGTATATTACCTACTTCGTTTTAAGGGTTTTTATTAAATATGAACAGTGGGCAGGATTGTCTGAGGGTGATGAGAAGAGGAATGGCATGTTCATATAGCCTGGATTATTAGGGGCTATTGGAGGAGCGGTGGGGGGAGGGTTCGGGGGGGGGGGGGGGCCTTAATTGGACAAAAAGGGGTGTATATTACCTACTTCGTTTTAAGGGTTTTATTAAATATGAACAGTGGGCAGGATTGTCTGAGGGTGATGAGTAGAGGTACAGCATATTCATGTAGCCTGGATTATTAAGGGCTATTGGAGGGGCGGTGGGGGAAGGGTCGGGTAGGGGCGTTAATTGGATATAAAGAAGTGCATATTACCTACTTCATTTTAAGGGGTTTTATTTATTATGAACATAGGGCAGTATTGTTTGAGGTTGATGAGAAGAGGAAGTACAGCATATTCATGTAGCCTGGATTATTAGGGGCTAATGGAGGGGCGGTGGGGGAAGGGTCGGGTAGGGGCGTTAATAGGATATAAAGAAGTGCATATTACCTACTTCGTTTTAAGGGGTTTTATTTATTATGAACATAGGGCAGTATTGTTTGAGGTTGATGAGAAGAGGAAGGGCACAGTTATGTAGCCTGGATAGGAAGGGACTAGTGGTGGGGAGGGGGGGGGGGAGGGGTCGGGGTGTCGGGTAGGGGCCTTAATTGGACAAAAAGGGGTGTATATTTACCTACTTTGTTTTAAGGGTTTTTATTTATTATGAACAGAGGGCAGTATTGTTTGACGTTGATGAGAAGAGGAAGGGCACAGTCATGTAGCCTGGATAGGAAAGGACTTGTGGTGGGGGGGGGGGAGGGGGTTGGGGGTCGGGTAGGGGCCTTAATTGGACAAAACGAGGTCTATATTACCTACTTCGTTTTAAGGTTTTTTATTAAATATGAACAGTGGGCAGGATTGTTTGAGGGTGATGAGAAGAGGGACGGCGTGTTCATATAGCCTGGATTATTAGGGGCTATTGGAGTAGGGGTGGGGGGAGGGTTCGGGGGGGGGGGGGGGGGGGTCGGGTAGGGCCCTAATTGGACAAAAAGGGGAGTATATTACCTACTTCGTTTTAAGGGTTTTTATTAAATATGAACAGTGGGCAGGATTGTCTGAGGGTGATGAGTAGAGGTACAGCATATTCATGTAGCCTGGATTATTAAGGGCTATTGGAGGGGCGGTGGGGGTAGGGTCGGGTAGGGGCCTTAATTGGATATAAAGAAGTGCATATTACCTACTACATTTTAAGGGGTTTTATTTATTATGAACATAGGGCAGTATTGTTTGAGGTTGATGAGAAGAGGAAGGGCACAGTTATGTAGCCTGGATAGGAAGGGACTAGTGGTGGGGGGGGGGGGGAAGGGTCGGGGTGTCGGGTAGGGGCCTTAATTGGATATAAAGAAGTGTATATTACCTACTTCGTTTTAAGGGGTTTTATTTATTATGAACATAGGGCAGTATTGTTTGAGGTTGATGAGAAGAGGAAGGGCACAGTCATGTAGCCTGGATAGGAAGGGACTAGTGGTGGGGGGGGGAGGGGTCGGGGTGTCGGGTAGGGGCCTTAATTGGACAAAACGAGGTCTATATTACCTACTTCGTTTTAAGGGTTTTTATTAAATATGAACAGTGGGCAGGATTGTCTGAGGGTGATGAGTAGAGGTACAGCATATTCATGTAGCCTGGATAATTAGAGGCTAGTGGTGGGGGCGCTGGGGGGGGGGACGGGCGTTAATTGGATATAAAGAAGTGCATATTACCTACTTCGTTTTAAGGGGTTTTATTTATTATGAACATAGGGCAGTATTGTTTGAGGTTGATGAGAAGAGGAAGGGCACAGTTATGTAGCCTGGATAGGAAGGGACTAGTGGTGGGGGGGGGGGGAGGGGTCGGGGGTGTCGGGTAGGGGCCTTAATTGGACAAAAAGGGGTGTATATTTACCTACTTCGTTTTAAGGGTTTTTATTTATTATGAACAGAGGGCAGTATTGTTTGAGGTTGATGAGAAGAGGAAGGGCACAGTTATGTAGCCTGGATAGGAAGGGACTAGTGGTGGGGGGGGGGGAGGGGTCGGGGTGTCGGGTAGGGGCGTTAATTGGACAAAAAGGGGTGTATATTTACCTCCTTCATTTTAAGGGGTTTATTTATTATGAACATAGGGCAGTATTGTTTGAGGTTGATGAGAAGAGGAAGGGCACAGTTATGTAGCCTGGATAGGAAGGGACTAGTGGTGGGGAGGGGGGGGGGGAGGGTTGGGGTGTCGGGTAGGGGCCTTAATTGGACAAAAAGGGGTGTATATTACCTACTTCGTTTTAAGGGTTTTTATTAAATATGAACAGTCGGCAGGATTGTCTGAGGGTGATGAGTAGAGGTACAGCATATTCATGTAGCCTGGATTATTAAGGGCTATTGGAGGGGGGGGTGGGGGAAGGGTCGGGTAGGGGCCTTAATTGGACAAAAAGGGGTGTATATTACCTACTTTGTTTTAAGGGTTTTATTAATTATGAACATATATTGGGCAGAATTGTCTGAGGGTGATGAGAAGAAGGGCACAGTGTTGTAGCCAGGATGGTTAGGGGCCGTGGGGGAAGGGGTCGAGGGGGTTGGGTAGGGGTGTTAATTGGACAGAAAGTGGTGTATATTACCTACTTCATTTTAAGGCCCCCCCCCCCCCCCCCCCCCCCCCCCCCCAACCCAGCGCCCCCTCTACTAGTCCCTAATAATCTAAAACCCCTTAAAACGAAGTAGGTAATATACACCCCTTTTTGTCCAATAAACGCCTCTACCCAACCCCCCACTACCCCTCCCCCCTCCCCCACCGCCCCTCCAATAGCCTCTAATAATCCATGCTCCCGGTATATGAATATGCCGTTCCTCTTCTCATCACCCTCGAACAATCCTGCTCACTGTTCATATTTAATAAAACCCCTTAAAACGAAGTAGGTAATATACACCCTTTTTGTCCAATTAAGGCCCCTACCCGACCCTCTCGACCCTTCCCCCCACCGCCCCTCCACTAGCCCCTAACCATCCTGTCTACATCACTGTGCCCTTCCTCTTCTCATCCCCCTGAGACAATTATGCATAATGTTCATAATTGATAAAACCCCTTAAAACGAAGTAGGTAATATACACCCCTTTTTGTCGACTATGATATGTCCGACTGAAATTATAGTTTTTATTTCTCTTTATTTAATAGAGAGCCTGTATTAAGCAAGTCCTCCACCCCCCTCCCCATATTGCTGAGATCCCCATTGGTTTACTTGTAACAAGTTTCTTTGTGTGAGCACAGATATGATACAATAATAATAATAATGGTGGGTTCTTGTATAGCGCTCATGTCAGTCAGATTTGACCCTCCTGGCGCTCCCGATTATTACCCTGGCTTTAGCACAGCTGCCATACGGCGCTCTAGCATTTCAAGGAATAAATTCCTACCAGGTACCCATTTACTTCACCTGGGTGGAGTGTGGCAAATGTAGATCAATGTCTTGCGATTCCCAAATGATTAAAAAACTCAGGCAACTTTCCAACGAAGATTAAACACTTACAGACAAGTGTCTCAGATTATCTGTGATGTTTTAACCAACCTTTATTCAAGTAAAGGATAATAAGGCAAATATGGTTTGTAGACTATTTTGTGAATTCGGTATATAAAAGTCTTAGGGACTGCTTTAATATTCTAGACATATCTGTTTCTATACCGGCTCTCGTGGACGTTACATCCTACTATGACCCCTCAGCGCTCCTGCAGTGGCGTATATCCTTACTTAATCATTACTTAATCTATTCATTCATCCCCCCTGAACAATAAAGATGTTTACTTTTTCCACCTGTAGGACACCAATCCCGCATTCAAAGGATACAGGTAAAACACTGGAAGTTCCCAAAATGCCAGGTGTCAGGATGGACATACATTTTACCTTGCCAGCTCACACAAGACAAAGAGGGGATTATTATTATATTGCTCCATCTCTGGAAAGCTTTAGGGGCACAGTCTAGCATGCACTACCACGCCTTCTGCAACATTTCCACTGATCTGTGGCGTTCCTCAAGGTACCGTAACCGGCCCGCTTCTCTTTCTTCTCTACACCAGCCCACTGTCTCAGGTCATTGATTCTCACTAGGGGATTCAGCATGCGATGTACGCTGACGACACTCAGATTTATGTAACTCTTAAGCCTAATGGGAAGGATGATGTGACTCAGAAACTTAGCAGTTGCCTTGAAGACATTAGGTTCTGGTCTTCTAGCAATAGACTTTGCCTTAATGAACAAAAATCTGAAATGATCCACATTACTTCCAAATTCAGAAACGCTGATTCCTTCCCCGACTTGGTTACCGGAGAGGGTTCACTGAAGAGTTGTGAATATGTTCGAGACCTTGGTGTTTTAATCGACAAAAATCTTACATTTCAGCAGCATATTAAAAAACGTTTGTAAATCTGCATCTTTTGGAATCTTTAAAATTGGGAAAATTAGGAAACTATTTGACCAACCCACAACTGCAAAATTAACCTTTGCCTTTGTATCCTCCCACCTTGATTATTGTAATTCATTTTTTTTCTGGCCTTCCTCATTCATACTTACTTCCACTCCAAAGAATTCAGAATTCTGCTGCAAGGCTTGTAACTCTCTTGAGAAAATTTGAGCACATAACCCCAATATTGCGTTCTCTCCATTGGCTTCCCATACACCATCGTATAACATTAAAAGTTCTTCTTCTGACATACAAAATTCTCCATGGCCAAGCCCCTAAATATCTTTCAGATTTGATTTCCTTACGTTCTTCTAGTTCTTTAAGACCTCTTCGATCATCATCAACCTTGCAGTTAACCCTTGGACCTTGTTGTGTTACAAAATATGGCGATCAAGCTTTTTCAGTAAATGCCCCTATCCTTTGGAATAAATTACCAGCGCATATTCATAATACTCATTCTCTTGACCAGTTTAAGTCCTTGCTGAAAACGCACCTTTTTAATTCATGAAAGATATTCTGCAGTTGTGAGTCGGTCAAAGGAGGTGCTCACCATCTTATTCTTTGTTTGTTTGATCTTATGTTTGTCCTTATGTTTGATCTCATTTTATTTTTGTTATAACATGCATGATTTATTGAATAAAGAACAGATTTATATTTTTTGTGTTTATTATAAGCTTTAGTTGGTAATCTTAAGTCTGACAATGGTGCGCTTGGAAACACCCGTATTAAGCGTCTAATAAATGTTATGTATTATTATTATTATTATATCACAGACAAAAATCATCATTGGATTCTAACTAAACATTGTTTGAAAATTCTTTAATAGAATAAGGAATCTTAATTGGTTTTCTCAGTAGCAAGAATTAAAGATGTTTTAAATATTATTATTCCTCTATGAAAGGCATTGTTGGATATGTGACTTTATAGCAAATTATAGAGGCAGAAGGGATCAAAAGGTATTTAAGAAGAGCCTCTCCATATGGCTTTGAGGCAGTGTGCCCTGTTTATGTGTTACATCATACCAGAAATCCCATCTCCCTAGAGGGTTGGGGAAGAATGTGAAGCTCTTATTTCATCAGCTCAGTTGAGCATAAGGTCAGTGGACCTCTTGTTTATTGTTTGCGGCCCTTCAAGTGCCGCCCAGGGCACGTGCCCCCTCTGCCACCCCCATAGATAGGCCACTGAGGAAGACACTCATAATGGGCCTATTAAGTCATAAAGATCCCTTTTGGAATCGTTTTTAAAAATAATTGTGTGTGAAAGCATACAATGTCGGTGAATCGTCAAATAAGGCTTATACATAAAGCATGCACATAAATAATTCACAAGTCTGATATTAAAAGGTTTCAAGACTTAAAGATTTAAAAAAGGAACAACCCAGGAGACCAAAAGTCCACAAGATTGAAAAAGAAAGTTGTGCAGAAGCTGATTGAGATCAACATACATGTAGGTCTCTGGGGCTTTATTCCATGTTGGCCCTCGGTAAATATATACATGTACATGTACATGTACATGTATGTACTGTTGATCACTTCTGTAACTGGCCTCATAGCAAATGAATGCATTTTCATGCTAATCTGGAATCCCAATTTTGTCTTCTTTTTTTACAGGAGCCGGAGGCCACCCATGATACCCAGGAGGGGTCCCTCCCCTTTTGACCCTAGTTGACCTCCAGAACATCAAGCTCAAAAGTTTCTCTAGAAGACTTTCATGCCTCAAGAAGCCCGTATTCAGTCTTTGCACAAGGTCAGTCTCATGTTCATACAGGAGATGCCATATTGTCATTTTTAATTGTTTTGGTGATTTTAAAAACCACAGAATATTTTCCTTTCTACAGACTTGTACATAATTGGAGACCAAAATTTTAGTCAGTCGCAATATCTCAAGAACCACACTAGAGATATGAGGCTCAAACTGATAGTATATGTACCGCCCTAGGAAAATGATCTGATCAGATTTTGGGTAAATGGGTCTAAGATCAATTCCTGAAACTAAAGGTTTTACCCGTGCTATTGTAATTGGGTTCAAACTTGATGATAGTATGTATCATCATTGGAAGAATTTGACTAGAGTTTTGGTTAATAGGTCAATGCTTTTTAATTAGAGGTATTACCCTTGTTATCGCAAGATGTAAAGAACTCCTTGAGGTATTACTAGGCCTAAACAAGAATGTTGTATTGCCCTTTAGGTGCCAGCACCTTGGTTGGTTGGTCTTTTTTAAATTTTTGTTGTTGTTCTTACTTTGTCCCTGTTTTGGCAGATATTTCTCAGTTTTTAATGCTTTAATACATGTGTTTCAGCGACATCATTCCATTCATCTCTTTTCACCTCATAATAATCCATGGTTTACAATGTTGTGTTGAGACAACACTCTGTGCTTCTCAGCTGATGAAGTTGGTTGTCAACTACCTGTAAAACCTGCTAGCAATGTGAAGATTGTTGACAAATTTTACAGGTGGTCCCGGGCACAAAGTGGTCTCTTTACTAACCAAAGAAGGGACCGAAACTGACACAGGAAAAGACAGCCAGACAGTTTTGCATGCATTAGATTCAAATCATAGCCTATTACAAATGTTGGTATTCAAACTGGCCCACTTCATAGAATATGCTCTTCATTCCTGTTTCAGTTCTGGGGATTGTTCCCAGTGTATGTTTGTATCCGTATTTTGAATATGATTTGAGTCGAATCTGACAATAAATTCAAACCATTCAAATACCTGAATGTTTGAACTCACTGCATGGTATATACATGTACACCAGGGGCGCCGATTTCTTTTCATGACGGGGGGGGGGGGGGGGGGGGGGGGGGACGATAACGAAATGCAAGGGACGAGGGAGCAGTGGGGTAATGAGCAAAAACATTTTTTTGGGGGGAGGGCAGAAACAAATCTGCATCACCACCACTCTTACATGTTACACAGGCCCTGGCAACGTTTTTCAAAGTGAGGAGGGGGGGCTAAAGTATTTATGATCAGGTAGAGCAAAGCAAGTGGAGCGTAATTGGCGTGGGGTCCATGGGAAAAGCCCCAGCGGGGTTCAAGGGGTGGAGCCCCATGAAACTCAGGGGTTTTAGTCATTAAATTAAGGTCAGATGTACATCCGTGGGGCGAAAATGCCATTTCAGCAACATTTGCTTATTACTGGTATCGAATTAGAAATAAACCATGTTTGAATTTTATTTTTGGAGAGGGGACTTCCCACCCAAGCTCACCCCCCCCCCCAATTATTACGCAAGCGCGAGGGAGCATAGTGAATGAGAGGGGTGAAGGTGACGGAAGTGACTACCCCCTCACAGGTTTTTGAAGTTTTGGTTGTATTAAAAAAATTACAGTCCTTAGCAAAACTATAGTATAAAAACAAGCCATATACTTTTTTCACACTTCACTTTTCTCAGTATTTACTTGTACGTTTTGAAGGATATTGTGCGAGGGAGCGTAGCTACCGAGTGAGAAGATTTTTTCATTTTTATTTGTCTAAATGCTGCACTCTTGGGCCCTCCAGAGCCAAAAGTGTGTTGCAGTCTTTAGTCAGTATTTGCTATACATTTATTTTTGTGCGATTTTTCAAATTGGGATTGCCTCTCCTGATGTACAGGTACACAAGGCCAGGTTTACTTGTTTATGCCAGCAGGATTTCGAAACTATGGTAGAAAACGAGTGAGAACTTGAAAATAATTTGATGATTTTATGCATTTATATCCCATTTAAACAAACAAAATACTTTTTTTTTTCTTCTAAAAAGGGATTGACAAAAATTATAATAAAAAGCCGACCATAGATTTTAAGTTTTTGGGGGCGGTTGCAAAGGGCAATACAACAATTTATTTGTATAGGTCTTATAGGAAGATGATCCAATTACATTTTAGTAAATCAAGATCACAGTCGTCAATTGACTTTTTATTTTAGGCTATCTAATATTAGGGGCTAGCTCAACATCGGTATTGTTGCTATTAGTGCCAGATAAATAAGTGGCTGAATGTTTGGGGGCAACACTCTGTAAGGGGCCAGAGCATGTAAAATAGGGCCAATGACATGATTTTAGACAAGTATATATCTGACTAGGTCCCTGTACACATCACTGATAAGTAAAGACACTCTTCCAAATTTAAAATAAGGAATTTCAAGAGAGTGCTCATGTGACCGTAATTAAATGTGTAAAATGTCTGAGCTTCAGGGGCTCTGCCCGCTGGACCCCACCAAGGTCCCTAAGGCGGCCTCTGGATGCTCATCTGATCGTAATTTAATGCCTAAAACCCCGAGCTTCGGGGTCTCTGCCCCGGGATGCTCATCTGACCTTAATTAATTGCCTAAAACCCCTGAGTTTCATGGGGCTCTGCCCCTTTACCCCCCCCCCCCTGGGACTTTGCCCCTGGACTCCACGCCAATTTACGCCCCCCTGCTTCGCTCGCTTTGCCCTACCTGACCGTAAATATTTTATTCCCCCCTCCCCCCCCCCCCCCCCCCTCCCTATTTTGAAAAACATGCCAGCGCATGCGTAACATGTAAGAGTGGTGGTGATGCAGATTTTGTTATGCCCCCCCCCCCCATTACATTTTTGCTCATTACGCCACTGCTCCCACCCCCCCCCCCCCTTCCCGGTCATGAAAAAAAAAAAGCCGCCCCTGGTCATAGTTACAGTTTAAGAGAAGATTTGAATGAATGTTTAAAACGTTTGCTGCTCAAATCACTGTTTTAAGTAAAAACACTCTTCCAAATTAAAAATAAGGAATTTCAAGTAAGTTAGTACAATCTACTGGTTCAGTTTCTTCATTTTTAAAAATCAACGAACCATTAATGAGCAAATCAAACCATCTAAGTACTGTACAGGATCTACTGACCAACTTAGACCCACTTTTGAAAAGACAAACCAAAGTTAAATTTTTCTAAACAGTTATTTCCAAAAATCATATCAAAATAGCCCAGTATAGTTCAGGTTAAAAAGTACAATTTTGTAGGAAGGGACATTTTATAGATATTTCATCGAGTTGGTATTCTTGAAGATAAGTTCATTCTCATGTTTGTATTTTACAGGAGGGGACAGATATGACATTCTATCTTAACAGCATTGACTGAAACAAGATGTCGCAGCCTTACATTCTGGTGATAGGTTCAAGGATCAACCCCCTTCAATTCTTTGTAATTGTGGAGAGACAAGCACTGGAGTTCAAGACAATGACCAAGGCAGTAGACTTTTGTTTTAAACTGATATACGTGCCGGATGTTCAGTACCAGGCTGCTTGCATAGGAATGTGGGAGTTCCTACAGAATATGTAATTGCCAGAAGCAAAAACTGTTGCAGTTTCAACATCTGTGCGGGAGCTCCGCACATTTTTGGCAAATGAAGAAAAGTAAGCTGTCGAGCTCCATCAGCTACATTGTATGAGACTAACAGCCTGGATAGAAATTGTAAGTGATAGACTTGAATTTATCTTTTCTGAAACTCCAGGTTTGTGAATAAAGATCTGACAACGAAAGCAATTTTATTTTAAAAAATTCTTAATTATGTAAGTTTTTGAACATTGGTAGATAAGATTGGCACTTGAAGACCTACTGGTAATACATTTACTGGAATATATCTTTGTAAAGTCGAGACAATTTAACAAGTCTGATGGTAATACATTTACTGGAATATAACTTTGTAAAGTCGAGACAATTTAACAAGGCTGTGTAACAAAACATGGGGTCTATCGATGTAATTCAACTTGCTGCCATGGTAAAATGTTGAACTTTGAAATATTAAAAAGGTTCATCTTGTTAAACCCTTACTGTACTGGGCTATTTTGAGCACCTCACTGACTGGGGGGGGGGGGCCTCCTAGGGCCCCCCCCCCCTATGATCTCGGCTGTCCGATGAACACGAAAAGTTGCATGTTTATAGATATTTACATAAGGAACAAGATGGTTATAATTATTTTTTTCCTCATATGCAAATTTTTGTCGTTATAGCCTAATTAATTATGCAAAATGCTAATTTTATGCATTTTACAGAAAACTCTTCATATTTGTCTGTAGACTTGTGAAGAATCTTGAAAATGTATTGAATAAATGTTTCCTTCATCTCAAATTCATGAGGTTTCATTATTTTTATGATATTTGAAAATGCATAAGTTATGAATACGCAAATTACGCATTCATCAATATCAAATCTGGAAATATACAGGGAACTAGAATCATTACAAAAATTGTCAGACTCCACTTTTTGAATGTTGAAACTCATTATTCATATGAAACTTCTTTTCTAACACAAAATAATTATTTTGATGTAATTAATAATAATTTAATCAAATTTGATGCGATTTTCTAATATTTCTTTTCTTATGTATTTGAATGTTTTTATTTCTTATTATATCTATGTTTTATTTCTAATGTATTCTTTTGTTCTGGAATACATCAAGTTACTTTGAGAAACATATAAAAGTAATTTGATATCAATTCATATCTCCCACTTAGAAGAAATACATCTAAAGTATTTATATATCACTTTTTGATGACATGCGCATACTAATTGTTATGTAACACCTTACAGGTATATCCGATTTCGACGAAAATGGTATCATAATGTGCGTAAGACTCGAGGGAAAAAATTCATGAAACGACAATTCAAAATTCCAAGCGGTTGCGGCACAATCTCCAAAAATGTTGAGGGAGGGGGGGGGGAAGCCCAGTACAGTAAGGGTTAATAGCCTTTTCCCCCATCTGTATGCGCAACCAGTCAAACTATGTCTGCAGACTCCACTTTCTTATACATTAGGTCTTCAAATTCCTTATTCTACAATCAATATTCAATATTATAAATTGCATAATTTATCAAGTAATACATTTTGAGAAAAAATGCTGTGCTGATATAAATTGCTCAAGCCAACTCAAGTTTATCAATGATGTTGCAGTTGAAGTTTGAATGGTGCTGTTAAATTCTGTTATAGAATTAGTTTCAAGTTTGTATAAGAATAAATCATAACCATTCTATGTATATTACAATACAATGTACATCTGTAGGTGTGCCATGAAACAAGTTGTAATTTCATAATCAAAGTTTCTACTCTGTTTACGTTTTGTCAGAGCAGATACCGGTAGGTTTCAATGTGCTGGCTACTGCAATTACAAGTAGAACAAAATAATTGCTGTCCTGAAATAAATTGCTCATGCCACTTTTTCAATGTTACAGTTGAACTTTAAATGGAGAAATGTATTTCCTGCATTTTAATTTTGATGCAATCTGAAGGTGTAATGATGAAACCACCATTACCATGCATATTGATGAATCTTTAACAGTATGGCATTAACACGTTGGTGTCGTATGCAATCGTGTTGCCAAGTTTGTTGGTATTATTTACCATTTGAGACATTTTCCAAGACATATTATAGATATTTATATTATGTGCTAATTTTCTTTCATATTAATTATTGTAATATTGCTTGGTCAAACGGTCATGATTATTTCATTACTAAATTAAATGTTTTGCAGAAAAAAGCCATAATAATGATTTCTAATTCACCACATAATGCTCATACCTTGCCAATCTTCTCCCAGTTTAATAAATCTAAACGTTTATGAAATTAATAGATTGAATATTGTAATATTTATGTTTCTGTGGTCTAGTGGCTTATTACCATCTCTAATTACATACAAATTTGTAATGTATACATATATAATAATTTTAAAATTGAGTCACACATGTGTAGGAATTGTATTGTTAATAAATTTGATGTTGTCTTGATGATAAGAATTACTATTGTTCAGTGTGGCATGTTCTACTGTCAATTCTTTTTTCTCAGACACTTTGCAACTTTAGTAACTTACGTTTATTTTATGCCTCCGGAGGCACGTCTTTATTCTTGTGGAAAGGCGGAGGCATAGCCATCAACTCAAGTCCCCCTTGAACACTCAACATCCTATTGTATTATGGCTGAGAAAGAGCAATGTCTTTTATGATCCCATATATGTTTTGAACAACAAATTTGAAAAATGTTAAGCAACTGTGTGTGTTTAAACAACCTAGATGTCTAAAAGCTTTAAATAACCTTGGTTGTTTTACAGTTTAAACAATAGTCGTTAGAGTGACCGTCTTAAACAGCGTTACTTAAATTTTTTAAACAGTTTAAAATATTTGTAAAAATATTTGTTACTGTAGTTCTGCTCCTTTTATCATTGTGTTCTTTATATCACAGACCCACTCCTTCATATCACAAACCCGACCTCTCGTTCTGCTCCTACCACCTCTTGTGTATGGTCCTAATTTTGTATTTTCTTTAAAAAAACTGCTTTCTGACCGCTTATTCCATAAACCTTGATAAAAGCATGTTTAAAAGTTTTTTTCCCACCAAATTTTTGCTCATTTGCAACATTCAACTACATAAACATTTACATGTAAATCAATTTCAACAACCTCAACAAAATAAAGATCACAGAAAAATATTTTGCTTGTTTTAGTGTTATTTAATTGGCATTTAGTTACACATTATAATAACAGGTAATGCATCATAAAGATTATGTGTGGAGTTTCTAGACTGAACCGATGAACGTTCTTTTTATGTACTTAACAAAGATTATGTGAGATAACTTCTCTATCAACTTAAATTTACACTGGATAAAAATCGGATTGATAAAAAATAGAATGTGCTTTACCACAGAACTAGTTTTTAATTAAAAGTTATTTTCTTTCAAAGATTGGATACCAAAGTATGGATTGTATAAATTTAACTTTTTAAAGCAATTGACCTCGGTAAACATAATTATAGCCCAGTCTGACAATATAAAATATAAAGTGGCCAATATCTAGTATTTCACAACAATAATAACAAATAAGTTAAAACCTATTTTTACTTTTTTCTTCAATTCTAAAACAAAAAACAAAAAAAGTTGATTCTTGTTGTTAAAACCTGCATTGTAAGTAATTGGCACTGAGCCGATTGATCAATGGCTGCATAAAAATTTGTATCGAAATTTCTCTTTTATGATTAAACAAAGTGTTTTGGACATCAATCCTCAACATCAAAGCTAGGGATGAGCAAAATATAAATCAAATTTCAATTTAAGGGTCCTGCTTCTGCACCATATTTTTGTATGTCCGGCTAATGTACCGAATAGAGTTCAATATATATTTACAAATATGGAGACATGTCACTCTATAATACTGTCTATCAATTATCACATTTCTCTATTGTTTGATTTAATTTATTAAGGCACATGCTGCCTTGAAACACAAATAAAAAAATATTTCTTTGTAAATATTCTTAAGATCACTGCCCAAGACAATTGACCTGTCAAATTTCCCTCACTTGGCAACACGGGGCAGAAAGAAAAGGCAAAAGTTTTATTTTGTGCCTCGACACTACCATAACTGCATGCACAAACTATACAGTATTATACCGTAACATTTTCTTTGGAAAGACCCATTCATTTAAAAAAAATTGTTCATAATTACAGACGTCCATAATTCTGAGTAACATTAGTATTGTGGGTAGGGTCGGCTGTCAAAGCTCAGTATGGCGGATTCAGAACTCTCAGCGACATTAGGTATATAAGCTAGTTAGAAAAGCCACTTTTCACACGTTTGGACGGCAAAGATCAACATCTCCCCATACATCTACCTACGCTGTTTTCATCATCTCTTCTTTGCAGCATAACAAAGTTTGCATGTCACCAGACAGTACATGAATATTTTATCATAGTTTGGGGAACACTGAACGTTTCGTGCATACAGTGTACCTTCATGTTTACTACAAGCGCACACAAACAATGCACAATCCAAAGTGATAACTACATGTAGGTGGGTTCAACACTCACAGATAGAAACTTTAAAACTTTTTTCCCCCATGGCATTCATTGGTTTTCCTCTGGAGGCAGGATAGTTGAACATTCATTAGTCATCTTATTCCTATAAAAGATTTTGACATTCTTTATCTGTGACATTGGATCTCATTTAAACTATTATCATGTTAATTTGCAATCTAATCAAAGAGCCAGATTTGATGAAAACTGTAGTAACAAGATGTTTAGGTCACATACAACATAACACACAAGGTGTGATAGGAGATAAGGAGAAAAATGGATGCTGCCTAGCCCTATAAGTGCAGATAAGGTTACGATGGAACATAATACATGGAACATGATGGTAATTTTACTTAAAGTGAAGTTGTGCAGTCTCACCATACGCTTTCCATCACTCACAATGACTATGCATAGTGGGCGCAACAATACCTTCCCCTGGTGCCTCACTGATTGAGACACAGTACAGATGGAGCCAGCGACCACAAACGTCGCACTGCTGGTCGGTGGTTTCTCTGAATGGGCCACCAGACACTGAACCATGTCGCAGGTTTTCCGCTGGTTAGGTGGGGGCACAGCGTTGGTGGTCAGTTTGACATTAACTCCATGTTTCTGGCATATTTCTCAACGTTTCGAGGATCAATCCCTCTTGTAATAACAAGAGCATTCTGCAGCAAAATAAATTGAAAAAAACAAGAAGAAAAAATAGGTGAAATTTGAAAAGAAAAGAAAAAAATTTTAATCATGAATTTCTATTGAAATTACCATATTATATCAGGCATCTCATATCTAAAATACAAAATAGTGACATAATTAATAAGAATTTGGGACAGCAAAAGAATCTTCTTATATCAGGTACCTCGGTATATCAGAGCTCTTTATAACAAGGTTCCACTGTACTAAATTGCAAAATAGCTAGCAGTGCCTATTTGGCAACTAGAAAGTGGATCTAGGCCTTTATGCATTTCCTCATCTCAACCAATGGGAACTGTCACTGAAGCCCCCCATGGGGGGTGGGGGGAGGGTTATGTCCTCAATGGAACATCTTAAGACCACATCTCCTAATTAATCTGTAAACAGCATGAAACAATCCATAGAATTAAACTGATGGGTTAATCTTACCAACATGACAAATGCCCACAGGAATGTCCATCTTCTTGCCTGGCAGACTGGAGCTTGCCAACCTTCCATGACGTTCCAGCTAGCTAGGTCTCCAATTTTCTCTGATCTGCATGCCATGTAGACTCTTGAATAAATTTTGAAATTACAAAACAACATCATAATAGTTCATAGCATAATCCTTGATTTGAAACTTACAATATGTGCATTCAATAAACATATTAACATTAAAATTAAATTAATTATCATGAAGGGCAAACAAATATTATTGCCCAGGTAACAAATACTCTTTAAATACCCTACTAATTGATATATAATTATGTCACGCACGTGTCGCGTATTCCCTATTCATATTCTGTGTACAGTGCTTTACCAAGACTGGGTCAAATTTATTATGATTTTGATCACTCCAAAACCTTGCAGTACACGTACACCAATACTACATGATCAACTTTTTCTGATCCATTCCACACCTTTTCGTTCACAATGCAATCGCATGACCAGAACTCAACTTTATCTTTAACCTGTAATTCTTTGTTCATAATTTTATTGTATGAGACCAAATGTTGGATTAGGATAAGGAATTTTAAACACTTGAAAGTTAATAATTGTAAGGTGTGTGACCCAATTTTCCACTTGATGCTTTCTATTCTACATGAAGGAGCATCATAAAATAGTCTTCTAAAATTTGAGTGAAATTACTCCACTGGTTCTAATGTTAGAAGCAAAAGGTTCCTTAAATTATCCCCATAAAACAGAACACAAATTACAGTGTGTGGTGGGGGGGGGGGGGCGGCCGGGATGGGGTCAATTCACTACTTTATTGCCAATACCTTCAAAAGGAAACATCTCTCAGGGGTAACATTTGTATGATGGGTAATGAGAAAAATATTGGGTCACACACCTTTAAGCAACAAATCCGCAGGACTAGCACAGAGTATCCAAATTGAACGAGTTCCTTTATTAAAAGTATTTTAAAACTAGTTTCAATTTAGTAATTTTGATTGTCAATTTTTGCCCTGCTGCGGGCTGTCAACATTTTATTTTTGCACATTATAAAAAAA